CTCCCTCCCTCCCTCCCTCCCTCCCTCCCTCTCTCTCTCTCTCTCTCTCTCTCTCTTTCTTTCTTTCTTTCTTTCTTTCTTTCTTTCTTTCTTTCTTTCTTTCTTTCTTTCTGTGTGAGTGTTTATATGAACCGTGTTTGGGACTGATAGTTGCAGAGCTCAGTGGTGTCACATTCCCTGGACCTGGAATTAGAGGTAGTTGTGAGATGCCTGATGTGGGTGCTGAGAACTGAAGCCAGGACCTCTGGAAGAACAGTAAGTTCTCTGAGCCATGATCCATCCCTGTATCCCTTCTACTATTTCTTTCATTCTTTCTTTTTTTACTTTTTTTGAGGCAGAGTCTATACGACTGGTCTGTAATTTGCTGTGTAGACCAGGTTGACTCAAACTCATAGACAGTTTTCTGCCTCTACCTCTTTTTTTGCTGGGATTAAAGGCATGTGCCACCACTCCTGGCTTACTATTTTTTTAAGTCATGGTTTTTTTTATGTTGCTCGGACTAGTCTCAAACTTCTGGTCCAAGTAACTGCAGCTACACACTTATCCCTATGTACTCTACTATATTGCTTCTTTTAATTAAAAAAGTATTTTATGTGTATGGTTATTTTGTCTACATGTATGTCCATGCACTAGATGTGTGAAGTGCCTGCAAAGGCCAGAAGAGGGCATCAGATCCTCTGGAAGTAGAGCTATGGGTGGTAGTGAGCCACCATGTGGGTGCTGGGAATCGAACCTGGGTCCTCCAGAAGAGCAGCCATTGCTCTTAACTGCTGAGCCTCCTCTCTAGGCTCTGTATTGCTATTTTAAATGGCATGGTTGTTACCAACCCTTCTTTTGAGACAAAGTCTCATGGAGCACAAGTTGGCCTCAAACTTGTTATGTATAGCTAAGGATAACCTTGAATTCCTCATTCTCTTGCTTCCACTTCCCAAGTGATGGAGTTACAGATATGAGCTATCATTCCCAGCTTGTGTTACCAATATAAAATAAAGGCAATGTCATCTTTTTCTGTTTTATCAATTTGGAACTTTGGATGCCCAAGTAGCATGCATTAAGATGTCATGTTGTTGTGCCTTTTCTCTATTCAAATAATGTCCTGAGACAGGCCTATTCTGGGTAATGATTAGATTAATTACTTGTTCTATAGTCTTTTGGGGGTTACCCTCCCCACTTACAGAACAGAATCATTCTAAGAGTTTTGAACATTTTCTTCCATTAAAAGTTGTTACTAGCCGGGTGGTGGTGGCGCACGCCTTTAATCCCAGCACTCGGGAGGCAGAGGCAGGCGGATCTCTGTGAGTTCGAGGCCAGCCTGGTCTCCAAAGCGAGTTCCAGGAAAGGCGCAAAGCTACACAGAGAAACCCTGTCTCGAAAAAAACCAAAAAAAAAAAAAAATAATAATAATAAATAAAAGTTGTTACTAAGGATTGAAGACACATAGCTTAGTGATAGAGGGATTTGTCTAGAATTTCTGAGAGCCAAGGTTTCATTCCTCAGTATTCATACATGAAAACACCTTTCTACTATTTCATCCCTGTGTTCTTTCCCTGAGAAATGCAAATAACTTCCAAATTGTTTCTAGGCTGCTAGAGTAGTTGAAGCTAGAGCAGTTGCTTGAGGAAAAAAAAAAACAGGAAAATGTGGTATGTATCTTATTAGTACTCGGACCAAAATAAAATTCCACCAGGATAAAAGCTTTAAATGCAAAACAAAATCCAAAATCTGAAGAAAAATGCAACTTAGATGTATGAAATTAAATTAAAAACAAGGGCAGAGCTGTGTATTGCTGTGAGATAACCCCTCTGTATGCTGTGAATATGTTTTATTACCACTGGTTAATAAAGAAGCTGCTTTGGCCTATTGCAAGGCATGATAGCGCCAGGCGGGAAATCCAAGCAGAAATACAGGGAGAAGGGTGGAATCACGGGCAGATGCCAGCCAGCTGCCAGAGGAACACGATGTATTAGAACACAGGCAAATCCACAAGACACATGGTAAAATATAGATTAATAGAAATGGGTTAATTTAAGTTGTAAGAGCTAGTTAGTAATAAGCCTAAGCAATAGGTCAAACAGTTTGTAGTTAATGTTAAGCCTCTGAGTGATTATTTTAAAAGTGGCTGTGGGATCAGGTGGAACAAAAAAGCCTTTGGTTACAATGTATGGTGGTATAAATCTGTTCAATTTATGTATGAAGTGTTTTTCAATGTAGTTCACCAAGCATTTATACATCTGTATCTTTTCAATGTTTTTCTAAGCACTTTTATATCTCTGTACTTTTAAAGTATATTTTTAAAAATGAGAATACGAATCTTAGAGGAATAAAAGCAGGGGGATCCTGAGTTTGAGGCTAGCCTAGGCTACATAGTGAGACACCCCCCATCTCCAAAAAAGAATAAAAGAAAGGAAAGAATTTTTCATAATTGACAAATTAGCAGTCATGAAAGAAACAATTGAGTCCCTTAAAATTTAATTATTTGCTGTCTTAGGGTTTCTATTGCTGCAAAAAAGTACCATGACCAAAAAGTAAGTTGGGGAGGAAAGTGTTTACTTGGCTTACACTTCTACATTGCTGTTCATCACGGAAAGAAGTCAGGACAGGAACTCAAACAGGGCAGGATCCTGGAGGTAGGAGCTGATGCAGAGGCCATGAAGGAGTGCTGCTAACTGGCTTGCTTCCCATGGTTTGCTCAGCTTGCTTTCTTATAGAACCCAGGACCACTAGTCCAAAGATGGTACCACTCACCATGGGCTGAGCCCTCCCCCACTTATCACTAAATGAGAAAATGCTCATGGAGGCATTTCCTCAAGTGAGGCTCCTTCCTCTCTGATGACTCTAGCTTGTGTCAAGTTGACACACAAAACCAGCCAGTACATTTGCTGTGCTTCTGAAGTTTTTGTTGTTTTTCTATTAAGATGGTTCTTTTTGTTTTTCAGTGCTTCAGGCCAACCTCAGAGTCATAAATATGAAGCAATTGTTCTGACAATGGGCTGTAGGTTCAGGCTCTAAGGTAATTTTTTAAATGAAAATGAGATCAGTGAGTACTTACTGTTCTGCACGTTATTTTTGTTCACTTGGAAATAACACGACAGCATCTTTCCAAGTTAGTGCATTCCTTTTAATAAATGTGTTTAATGAGTGTGTGGAAGTCAATGCTGTGATGTCCTTAATTACTACTCTTTTTAACTAATAATATATGTGAGGAGTGAAGAATCAGCCTTACACTGACACTGATAATGTCTAAATATCTGTATCAAAGGGTTTCAGACTCATAATCCAATTATTTTTATGGCATCCTCTCTGCTCAAAATATGGCTGAAGACAAGGGGTTCTGAGAAGATAACTGTCAGAACATGTTGTACACTACCAAGATAGATCTGAAGTCTGATATTTAAAAAACAAAAGAAAGCAAAATTACAAGTGTTTGGAGTAGGAGACAGCTCAGTGGGTAAAGGTATCTGATGCCAAGCCTGATCATCTGGTGGGAAGGAACAGCTGACTCCTTAGGCTTGCCCTCTGACCTCCACATATGTCCCATGGTATGCACATGCACATATACATATGCACAATAAATAAATGAATACATTTATTAAAAATCAAAATACAAATGTTCATTAATATTCTGAAGATAATAAAGTTAAGTGTGTTAAAAATCACCGTTTTGGGTTGGGGATTTAGCTCAGTGGTAGAGTGCTTGCCTAGCAAGCGCAAAGCCCTGGGTTCAGTCCTCAGCTCCAAATTAAAAAAAAAAATAATCACCGTTTTACTTTTTGGAATGATGTTTTTTTTAAATCACCATTTTAGTCATTCATTTTAAAAGACAAACTTTCATTCAATACACCCCATGTGTTACAAAGAGAGGGAGTGACCTTTCTAATATGATTACTCAAATAAATCTAAGCTGTTTTCAATTGGCCTACAAATTCAGATAAATACTTGGTTCTTTTTCTTTGGCTCTCAGGATATTGCCCTTCACTATGGCTTATTTCTTTCCAGAAAATTCCCTAGATGGGATTTTGTGCATAGCCCAGCAGAGGGCCCCCATTTCCATTTTCTGAGTGACATCTAGCATACACAAAAGCCACTGCAGACAACAATCAGCAAATCAGCAGGGAGGACTGCTGTCCTCCCACATTCCACCCACAGGGCTGGGGCTAATGGTTTCCAGTTCCAGCTGCTGAGCTTGGGACAGATGGTGTCTGCACTTCCTTTTAGTCATGGAGGCGGAGATGATGTGGTTTCTAAGAATAACTAGCAGCTCGGGAAGAGAAGTCCTATTATGTCAAAAGCATGCAAGTAATTTTTGTTGTAACTTTTATTCCTCTAAGATTCCTATTCTCATTTTAAAATATACTTAAAAGAGAGATATATTGAAATGCTTAGAAAAACATTAAAAAGATACAATGTATAAATGCTTGGTGAACGTACATTGAGAAACACTTCATAAGTAAATTGAACAGATTACAACTGAGTTTATTACAGTTTGTTTTTATTTTTGTTTTGTTTTGTCTTGTTTTGAGATAAGGTCTCATTATGTATATCCCAGGCTGGCTTAGAACTCATGACCCTCCTGCCTCAGCTTCCCAAGTGCTGGGATAACAAGCATGTACCACCAAGCCAGCTTAAGCCTTTCCTCTCCTTAAGTTGATAGGCTCAGAAATGTGTGTGCATGTTTTACAGTAATACAAAGCTGACTAACACATAGATGGAGCAGGAGGGACCCAGCCAGGTCTGTCCAGATCTTTCTTGGTCTCTCTCTCTATATATATAGTATTCCTTCCTTCCTTCCAGGTGTAGGATATCACTGGAATGAGGGCCAGCTCCCACATAGAAAGACACAAGAAGGTTAGAGTATTATTTCCAGGTTTTATGCCTTGCATTGAAGGAAAAGAATTACTAGTTTTTACGACTTGCCCTAGGAAAGTAGAGCAAGAGAAGGGGCAGGGAAGAAGGCCAGAAAGGTCTTACTTCAACTGAAAGTACAGAATACATCAACTCACCATATTTTGTGGCAGTGTGTTCGGAGCCTGAATCACTAAGGAATTTCTTCTTCAACAACACCCAGCAGCACAAACATTAAATAATGAAGAGGTGACTCTAGTAGTGGCATGAACTTGTGATCTCTAAACTGACAGGTGGAGCCAGGAAGATTGTGAGTTCAAAGCTAGTCAGGGCTGCACAGAGAGAGGGATTTTGTGTTAGCTTGGGTCAAAAAATGGGGTGATTTACTTTACTATATTAAGAGATATTCTTCGTTAAATTATACTGCAATTAGAATTAAGAGACAAACCACAAAATTAAAGAATATAAAAATGAAATAAAAATCCTCTTATTCACAATGTAAAATTGCAGACCAGTATAAAAACAAGAGACTCAACATGAAAGGGGTAGCATAGGCAACCCATAACTGAAGACATTTCAAAAATGGCATATTGTTGTCATTTGGATGAAAGTTTGTGTGTATCTCCCTAGGCTTCAAGTATTAAATTTTAATTTTCATCATGAGAGTAGAAATTTAATCTAACTGCATTATTTATCATGAAGACTTTATTTTGGAAAATGGATTCTTATTCTCATACAATACATCCTGTTTGATAATATAAGACAAAAACCATCACATCAAGGCTGTACCAGGCAACCCAACAGAAGGAAAAGTGTCCAAAGTGCAGGCACAAGAATAAGAGATCCACTCATTCACCACATTCAGGAGCCCCATAAAAATACTCCACTGAAAGCTATAATATATATGTGAAGGACCTGGTGCAGACCTGTGTAGGCCCTGTGCTTGCTGCTTCAGTCTCTTTGAGTTCATATGAGCCTTGCTCAGTTGATTTCGAGGGCCTTGTTCTGATATCCTCCACCCCTCTGGGTCTTACACTTCTACCTCCTCTTCAGAGGAGTTCCCTGAGCTTGGAGGGGAGGGATTTGATGGAGACATCCCCTTTACAGCTGTGTGTTCCAAGGACTCTTTCTGCATAATGTCTGGCTGTGGGTCTCTGCATCTGTTCCTATCTGCTCCATGAGGAAGCTTCTCTGATGATGACTGAATAATGCACTGATCTGTGAGTACAGCATAATATCATTAGAAATCATTTTATTGATACAATTTTTTGAGCAATATTAGTTGATTTTACTATAGGTCTCTGGGCTATCTAGTCTCTAGTTCTTGGTCACCCAAGCTGTGTTGTATATGGGTTCCATCTTGTGGAGTGGGCCTTAAGTCTAATGAGATATTGGTTGGCTACTCCCACAAGTTCTGTGTCATCATTGCCCTAGCATATCATGCAGGCAGGACAGATCATAGGTCATAGGTTTTAGTGGCTGGATTGGTGTTTACATTTTTTGGTAACCTGCAGAGTACCTTCCTGCACCAAAGAGACTAAAATGTAGGGGTGAAGGCTTCATGTAGGCACTTTATATGTTCAATGAGTTTGCAGAGAACAACTGTCTTGGCAACAGCCTGGGTTGTTTGGGGATTTCCCTTGACCAACAACTCAATTGAATGCAACACAGACCCAGTCAGTACTGGAAGCCTCCTTTGGTGACAAGAGATGGCCGGCTAGGACTCTGTCTCCCCCATTATTAGACTTCATTAGAATTACATTCATATATGTTAGGAAGTTTCCGCTGCACTGTTTCTATAACATCCCCCAAATGTTCCTCAATTCCAGCTGTCTCTCCCCAAAATCTCATACTCAAACTCATCTTCCCTCCCCCTCCCAACCTGATCTTCCCATTCCCATATCCCTTCTGTCCCCAGTTCACCCATAAAATCTGTTCTATTTCTCCCTCCCAGGGAGATCAGATCCATCTGTCACCCCTAGTCTCTTCCCCTATACCTAACGTCTCTGGGTCTATAGATTGTAGGTTGGTTATTATTTATTTAATGGCTAATATCCAGACATAAGTGATTATATACCATTTTATTTTTCTGGGTCTGGGTTACCTCATTCAGGATGATTTTTTTCTAGTTCCATTTGCCTGCAAATTTTAAGATGTCATTTTTTTAAACAGCTGAGTAATACTCCATTGTGTAAATGTACTACATTTTCTTTATCCATTCTTCTTTTGAGGGACATCTAGGCTGTTTCCAGTTTCTGGCTATTATGAATAGAGCAGCAATGAATATGGCTGAGCTAGTGTTTCTGTGTTAGGATGAAGCATCGTTTGGATATATACCCAAGAGTAGTACTGCTAGATCTTGAAGTAGATTGATTTCACAACTTTTTGAAGAACCACTATATTGATTTCCATGGTGGCTGTACAAGTTTGCACTCCCACCAGCAATTGATGAGTGTTCCCCTTACTCCACATCCTCAAGAACATGAGCTTGTTACTTGTTTTATTGATCTTAACAATTCTGACATATGTAAAATGGAATGTCAAAGTAGTTTTGATTTGTATTTCCCTGATGGCTAAGGATGTTGAACATTTCTTTGAGTGTTTTTCAGCCATTTGAGTTTCCTCTATTGATAATTCTCTATTTAGATCTGTACCCCATTTCTTAGTTGGATTATTAGGTTTTTGATATCTAGTATCTCGAGTTCTTTATATATTTTGGATATTAGTCCTCTATTGGATGGTAAGTTGGTAAAAATTTTTCCCATTCTGTAGTCTGCTGCTTTGTCTGAATGATGCTGTCCTTTAACTTACAGAAGCTTTTCAGTTTCATGAGGTCCCATTTATTAATGGTTGATATTAGAACCTGTGCTATCGATGTTCTGTTCAGGAAGACTTCTGTTATGCCAGTGAGTTCAAAGCTATTTCCCACTTTCTCTTCTATCAGGTTCAGTGTATCATGTTTTATGTTGAGGTTTTCAATCCATTTGGACTTGAATTTTGTGCAGGGTGATAAGTATGGATTTATTTGCATTATTCTACATGAAGATATCCAATTTGACCAGCACCATTTTTGAAGATGCTGTTTTCTTTTTTCCAGTGTATATTTCTGGCTTTTTTATTTAAAAAAATCAGGTGTCCATAGGTGTGTGGTTTTATGTCTGAGTCTTCAATTCCAATGATCAACATGTCTATTTTTATGCCAAAAACCATGCACTTTTAATTACTATAGCTCTGTAATACATATTGAAATTGGGAATGGTGATACCTCCAGCAGTTATTTTATTATTCAGAATTGTTTTAGATATCCTGGGTTTTTTGTTTTTCCATATGAAGTTGATAATTGTCCTTTCAAGATCTGTGAAGAATTCTGTTGGAATTTTGATGGGGATTGCATTGAATCTGTACATTTCCTTTAGTATGATGGTCATTTTTACTATATTAATCTTACTGATCCATGGGCATGGGAGATCTTTCCATCTTCTGATATCTTCAGTTTCTTTATTCAAAGACTTTATTCAAACTTTTTATCATACAAGTCTTTTACTTGCTTAATTAGTTACTGTAGCCAGAGGGTTTCTCGGGTCCTGCCCGGGCCCTGTGGTCAGGACAAATCTCTCCCACCCGTGTACTGCAGTTGCTTGGTCCCAAATAAACACACAGAGGCTTATATTATTTTCAAACTATATGGCCTAATGGCTCAGGTTCTTGCTAGCTAGCTCTTATATCTTAAATTAACCCATTTCTATTAATCTATAAGTTGCCACGTGGCCATGGCTTACTGGTATTTTCACATCTTGCTTCTCCTGCTGGCTGCTCACAGCGTCTCCTTCCTCTCCTTTCTCCTCCTACTATCTCTCTTGGATTTCCCTCCTGGCTCCATCCTGCCCTGCCATAGGCCAATGTAGTTTTATTTATCAACCAATCAGAAAAACACATATTCACAACATACAGAAAGATATCTCACAGCAAGTTACCACAAGATATTTCATATTATTTGAGGCTATTGTGAAAGGTGTTGTTTCCCTGATTTCTTTCTCAGTCTATTTGTCATCTGCATATATAGGAGGGCTACTGTTTTTTTGTAAGTTAATTTTGTACTCAAGTACTTTGCTGAAAAATTTTATCAGTTATAGGAGCTCCCCGATGGCATTTTTAGGGTCATTTATGTATACTATCATATCATCTGCAAGTAAAGATAATTTGACTACTTCCTTTCCAATCTGTACTTCACCTTGATTGCCTTCAGTTGTCTTATTGTTCTAGCTAAGATTTTCAGTGCTATCTTGAATAGTTCTGGAGAATAGACAACCTTGTGTTGTTCCTGATGTTAGTGGAATTGCTTTTTTAGTTTCTCTTCTCATTTAAGTTGATGTTGGCTATAGGCTTGCTGTAAACTGCCTTTATTATATTGAGGTATGTCCCCTGTATCCCTAATCTCTCCACAATTTTTATTACAAAGGGGAGGATGGATTTCGTCAAAGGCTTTTTCTTCATCTAGTGAGATGAACATGTGGTTTTTGTTTTTCAGTTTGTTTATAGGGTGGATTGTTTATCAATATGTTGATATGTAAATCAATAAACAATCCACCATATAAACAATCCCTGCATCTCTAGAATGAAGCCTACTTGATTGTGGTGGATGATCTTTTTTATGTCTTCTTGGATTCTGTTTGCAAGTATTTTATTGAGAATTTTTGCATTTATTTTTATAAGAGAAATTGGTCTGTAATTCTCTTTCTTTGTTGGGTCTTTATGTAGTTTGGGTGACTGTGGCTCATAAAATGAATTGGACAATGTTCCTTATGTTTCTATTATGTGGAATAATTTGAGGAGTATTGGCATTAACTCTTCTTTGAAAGTCTGGTAGAATTTTGGGCTAAAACCATCTGGTCCTGGGCAGTTTCTGGTTGAGAGACTTTGAATGACTGCTTCTATTTCACTAGGGGTAACAGGTCTGTTTAAATTGCTTATCTAGATTTAACTTTGGTAAGTGATACCTATTAAGAAAATTATCCATTTCTTTTAGATTTTCCAATTGGGCAGAGTACAAGTTTTTTTTAAAGATTCATTTATTTTTATGTGCATTGGTGTTTTGCCTGCATGTATATCTGTGTGAGGGTGTCAAGTCCCCTGGAACTGGAGTTACAGACAGTTGTGAGCTTCCACGTGGGTTCTGGGAATTGAACCTGGGTCCTCTGGAAGAGCAGCCAGTGCTCTCAACCCCTGAGCTATCTCTCTAGCCCCAGGAGTATAGGTTTTAAAAGTATGCCCTTGTGGTTCTCTGAATTTCCTTGGTGTCTGTGGTTATGCCCCTCTTTTTGTTTCTGATTTTTGTCAATTTGTATATTCCCTCCCTCTATTTTATTAGTTTGCATAAGGCTTTGCCAATATTACTGATTTTCTCAAAGAACCAACTCTTTACTTCATTGATTTTTTTGTATTGTTCTCTTTGTTTCTATTTTATTGATTTCAGCCCTGAGTATGATTATTTCTTGCTGGGTCTCCTTCACTTGGGTATGATTACTTTTTCGTTGCTCTTGTTCTAGAGTTTCAGGTGTACTGTTAAGTTGCTAATATGCGATTTCTTCAGCTATTTCATGGAGGCACTTGGTACTATGAACTTTCCTCTTAGCACTGCTTTCATAGTGTCCCAAAGTTTGTGTATGTTGTATATTCATTTTCATTGAATTCTAGGAAGTCTTTAATTTCTTCATTTCTGCCTTGACCCACTTTTCATTTAGGAGAGTTGTTCAATTTATATGAGTTTGTAAGCTTTCTGTTGTTGCTGATATCCAGTTTTAATGCAAGGTGTTATTTCAATTTTCTTGTATCTGTTGAGCTTGCTTTGTGTCCAAGTATGTGGTCAATTTTAGAGAAAGTTCCATGAGGTGCAGAGAAGAAGGTATATTCTTTTCTGTTTGTGTGAAATGTTCTGCAAATATCTATTAGGTCCATTTGGTTTATAATTTCTTTTTTTTTTAAATGTGCATTAGTGTTTTGCCATGGGAAATTTCAGGTCCCCTGAAACTTGAGTTATAGACAGTTGTGAGCTGCCATGTGGGTGCTGGGAATTGAACTCAGGACCTCTGAAAGAGCAGTCAGTGCTCTTAACCACTGAGGCATTTCTCCAGCCTGGTTTATAATTTCTTTTAGCTCCTTATTTAGGTTTTGTATGGACAACATGTCTATTGGTGAGAGTGGGACATTGAAGTCTCTCATTATCAGTTTGTGAGAGGGTCAATATATGATTTAATCTATAGTAGTGTTTCTTTTACAAATGTAAGTGCCCTTGTATTTGAGCATAGATGTTAAGAATTTAAATGGCATCTTGGTGGATTTTTCCTTTAATGACTGTGTAGTGTCCTTCTCTATCTCTTTTGATTAGTTTTGGTTTGAAGATTATTTTGTTAGATATCAAAATTGCTACACCAGCTTACTTCTTAGGTCCATTTGCTTGGTATATCTTTTGCCAACCCTTTATCCTGAGGTAATGTTGAGGTAATGTCTATCCTTGATGTTGATGTATTTTTCTTGGATGCAGAAGAGGATGAACCTTGCTTTCACATCCATTCTGTTAGTCTGTGTCTTTTTATTGGGAATTTGGGGCCATTGATATTGAGAGATATCAAATGAGCAATGACTATTGATCTCTGTTATTTTGTTAGTGGTGGTGTGGTGGTGGTGGTGGTGGTGGTGCTGGTGGTGGTAGTGGTGGTAGTGGTGGTGTGTGCATGCAAAAGAGAGAGAGAGAGAGAGAGAGAGAGAGAGAGAGAGAGAGAGAACAGAGAAAGAAGACAGAAGAGAAGAGAGATTCTCTTTTGATTTTGGTCTGAGATTATTTATTCCCCATGTTTTCATGTGTGTAGCTAACCTCCTTAGGTTGGAGTTTTCCTTTTAGCACCTTCTGTACAGCTTGATTTGTAGATGGATATTGTTTAAATTTGGCTTTTTCATGGAATGTCTTATTTTTTCCATGTATTGTGATTGAAAGTTTTGCTGGGTATAGTAGACTGGGCTGGCATCTGTGGTCTCTTAGAGTCTGCAGCACATCGGTCCAGGCCCTTCTGGCTTTTAGAGTCTGCACTGAGAAGTCAGATGTAATTCTAATAAGTTTGCCTTTATATGTTACCTAGTCTTTTTTTCTTTGAAGCTTTTAATTCTTTCTTTGTTCTTGTTCTGTATGTTTAGTGCTTTGTTTATTATATGCTGAGGGGATTTTTCTCCTCTGGTCTAATCTGTTTGGTGTTCTGTATGCTTCCTATACCTTTATAGGCATCTCCTTCTTTAGGTTAGGAAACTTTTCTTCTATGATTTTGTTTAAAATATTTTCTGGGCATTTGAACTGAGATTCTTTCTATTTTTCTATTCCTATTCATCATCCCAGATTTCCTGGATGTTTTGTGTCAGGATGTTTTTAGATTTAACATTTTCTTTGACTGATGTATCCATTTCTTCTTTGTATCTTCAACACCTGAGATTCTCTCTTCCATCTTGTGTATTCTGTTGGTAAAGCTTGTCTCTGTACTCCCTGTTCAAATTCCTAAATTTTTCATTCCCAGAATTCTCTCAGTTTGGGTTTTCTTTGTTGATTCTATTTCCACTTTCAGGTCTTGAACAGTTTTATTCATTTCCTTCCACTGTTTGTATTTTCCTGGACTTCTTTAAAGGATTCTATTTCCACTTTCAGGTCTTGAACAGTTTTATTCATTTCCTTCCACTGTTTGTATTTTCCTGGACTTCTTTAAAGGATTTATTCATTTCCTTGTTAAGAACCTCTATCATCTTTATATAGCTGGTTTTAAGGTCTTTTTCTTGTACTTCAGCTATGTTGGAATATTCAGGACCTGCTGTGGTAGGATAGCTGGGCTTTGGTGCAGACATATTGCCCTGGTTGTTATTGATTTTGTTTTTATGCTAATATCTAGGCATCTGGTATTAGGATGATTATAGGTCTTGGTGCTGATTCCTTGATTTTGTCTTTGTTAGATGGGTGCTTTGTTCTTTGGTTTTTGTTTTCTCTCTGGATTTTCAGAGAGTGTGATGGCCATGTGTTGTCTGGTAGGAAATCCTCTTTGGACTTGAGAGTTGTGGCCACTGGAGGTTCCAGATAAAATGTGCTTCTGGATATTGCGAGCTGACATTTAGGAATGGGGATAGGCTAGGGGTTTGAAGGGGTTCACAGGAGGGAGGAGAACAGAGTGTGCCATCTTGATCTACTTATTTTGTCTCATTGGAATGGAGGGAGACAGTGAAGAGAGATCAGCCCAGAAGACCTGCTATAACAATGAAGATGAGGTTGGAGGGTTGGATCTAGAGGAACAGAAGAAGAGAAGATCTGCAGACAGCCTACCTTCTTCCATGGAAGGAGTGGTCTTTGAGCTAGTGAGTGAGTGCCTGCTGGAGTTGGGGCCTGGGATAAAGCAACAGTTGAGGAGGGGAGAGTTAGGAGGGGAAGGTCTGTGGGATCCACAGGTGATGAGACAGGGGGCAGGGAAGGCTGCCACAGTTGTTCTGCTTCAGAGCTTTTGATGGGACTGTGGGATTGGATCTGTGGGAACAGAGGTAGAAGATCTGCAGGCAGCCTACCTGCTTTTCTAACAGGTGTGGCCTATGGGTTAGCAGGGGAGCCTGCTGGGTCTGGGGTCTGGGACAAAGCAATGAGTGGGGGGCATCCACAGGAGATAGGAACAGGGGGCAGGGAAGGCTTCCACAGGTGTTCTGCTGCAAGCTGGGGATGAGACTGAGGGATTGGATCTGGGGGAGCAGAGGGAGAAGAGAACATGTGCAGGCAGCCTACCTGGTCCCCTGGCAGGCATGGCCTGTGGGTTAGTTAGCAGGGGATGCCAGCTGGAGTTGTGGGCTGGGACAAAGCAACAAGTGGTAGAAAGGAGGCCAGAAGGGTAACATCCATAAAATCCACAGGAGATGGGAACAGGGGAGCAGGGAAGGTTGCAGCTGATGGTCTATTTCAGAGCTAGAGATGAGACTGGGGAATGGACTTGGAGGGGAAGAAGGAGTGGTGAAGGTCTTCAGTTGGCTTACCTGTTTCCCTGGCCTGCTCAGCTGATGTGTTCCCAGGGAATGCCTGCAGGTGTTGGAGGCTGGGATACCGGGATGAGTTGAGGGAAGGAAGGTCAGGGGAGAAGATCCCTGTGATTCATCAGGGATAGGGTCAGAGAGGAAAGGGAGATCGCAGAAGGTTCTCTGCCACAGCGTTGGGGATGAGACTGGGAGATTGGATCTAGAGGAACAGATGAAGAGGGAAAGATCTGAGCAGTAAAGGCTTTAGAAGGTAATTAGGATTAGATGTTAGCGTGGAGCCACTCTAAGTGACTCCTGGAGGGCTTATAAAACATAGGAAGATAGGCCAATGAGATTGCTCAGCATGTCTGAGAACTTGAGTTTGATCCCTGAAACCTACATTGGGAGGAGAGTACCAACTCCTGAAAGGTGTCCTCTGATCTCCACATGTGTGCCTATACTCAAGTGCATACAACACACACACACACACACACACACACACACACACACACACACACACAATTTTTTTTTTAAATAGGGAGGGGTTTGAAAGATGGTTCAATGGTTAAGAGCTCTTAATTTCCGAAAGAACTGGGTTTGATTACCAGCATCCACATGGCAGCTCACAAACATCTGTAATTCCAGTTCCAGGGAATCTGAGGCAGTCTTTTCTGATCTTCATGGGGACCAGGCACCCACATGGTACACTTACATACATGCAGGCAAAAACAGTCATACACATAAAACAAACAAACAAACTTTTAAAAAAAAGAATAGGGGCCGGGTGGCTCATGCCTTTAATCCCAGCACTCGGGAAGCAGAGTCAGGTGGATCTCTGTGAGTTCGAGGCCAGCATGGTCTACAGAACAAGATCCAGGACAGGCACCAAAATTTCACAGAGAAACCCTGTCTCAAAAAACCAAAAAAAAAGGGGGGGAATGAATCAGAAGATATGCTTGCACATGTATACACATACACTTGTGTATACACACACACACACACACACACACACACACACACACACATGCACTCCCTTACTACTCACTTACTTACCATTAAGTATGCCATCATTATACTGGACCCTTGACCTGGGACCAGAATCTCTATCTATCTGTTTGTCTGTCTGTCTGTCTATCTATCTATCTATCTATCTATCTATCTATCTATCTATCTATCCATCCATCCATCCACCCACCCACCCACCCACCCATCCATCCATCCATCCATCCATCCATCCATCTATCTATCTATCTATCTATCTATCTATCTATCTATCTACCTACCTACCCACCCACCTACCTATTTATATAAAGTATCTTCCTTCCTTCTTTCTTTCCTGCTTTATTTCTTTTCTATCTTCTTTTATTTCTCTTTTTCATCCTCCCTCTCTCTCTCTCATCCTTTCTTTCTGTTTTAGATTTTGAGATACAGTGGCCAAAGGTGGCCTTAGTCTAGCTACGTAACCCAAGGGGGCCTCAAACTTGTGATCTTCCTTTCTCTGCTTTCCAAGTGCTGGGATGGCCACATCTCTCTTTGTTTTTTAAAATAAAGATACACAGTCTGTGATGTTCTGCATTTAGCAGTAGAAAGATTAATATATGTATAAATGAATATATAAAAGTATCTTTCCAAATATAAGGATATTTCAAACTAAAACCACAATAAAATATTACCACACACTGAACAGACTGTCCAATATTTAAGTCTGATGTAACTGGAAACAGGCACATCATCACTTGAAATAGCTTGGCATTGCACAATAACTTTAAAAACAGGCAGTCTCCATGAGACAAGATGCAAATATGTGTGCACCTAAGCTCAAGGGCAATCCATAAGGGCTAATGAAAGACTTCTCCAAATATTTCAGTTGGTACCCATATTTGAACTCTAGTAATGTGATCAATGGGAGCCACTTTCTAACACTCATGAGCAAATAACAAATACCAACTTTGTAAATGAGAAAATACTGAAAATAATCATACAAATTAGTAAAGCCTCTAAGTGTTTGCTGATCAAAGAACATGATAGATGAATAATCTAATAGCCTTTCAGAGTGAGGCTGTCTAAATGTGGTGGTTCAAAAGAAAATGCCCCCCATAGGCCCACAGAGAGTGGCACTATTAGGAGGTGTGGCCTTCTTGGAGTAGGTATGGTTTTGCTGGAGGAAATGTGTCACTAGGGGTGGGCTTTGAGGTTTCAGATGCTCAAGCCAGGCCTAGTGTCACTCTCTTCCTGCAGATCCAGATATAGAACTCTCAGCTACTTCTCCAACACCATGTCTGCCTGTGCGCCACATTGCTTCTAGCCATGATGATAATGGAGTAAACCTCTGAACTTTAAGCTAGCCCCAGTTAATTGTCTTCCTTTATAAGAGTGGTCATGGTGTCTAGTCATAGCAATAACACCCTAAGACACTAATCAAATGCTATGTCCCTGCTCATAGGATGGGATTCTAATTAGGATGAGTCATTGTCCTCATGTGTCAATTCAACTAAGATCAACAACCCTCTAATCTGCTGCCAAGGGTCCCAAATTTAAGCTAGGAGTTGTTGCCCCAGGTATTGTGAGTGATGTGAACAGACAGTCCTCAGATGTCCATCCCTTTAGAGGTGGCTCAGTTGCAGCAAGCCTTCCTGCTTAAGGGTATAACTTTCCTAGGGCATCCAACATTCACTAGTGGATCGGTGAGAGTCTCATCTTTCTCCAAGCTCAGGAAATGCATGATAGGTCTAGCTAGCTCCAGAGCTTTCCTCTGGGTTCAGGCAAAACTGACTTAGGGCCCACATAACAAGTCAACTGGATTTTCTGCTCTACCCTGCCCTCACCTCTTCATATGCATTGCTAGCAAGCCAACAACCTAATAAAGTCTGCAGGCTAAATGACACTGCAGAGCCTGCTGCTTCCAGAAATCAACCTGCAATGCCAGCTTTTAATCTTACTGCCTAGGCTATCAGGCTTTAATGCAATAAAAAGCCAGGCATTGCTATGCTTGTAATTCCAGTACTCAGGAGCCTAAGTCAGGAAGATTGTGAGTTCAAGACCATCCTTCTGTATTTGCCTCACATGGTCTTTTCTCTGTGTGCACTCTATGTTGCCCATTCTTTTCCTTCTTTCCCTCCTTCTCTCCCTCCCTCCCTTCCTTCTTTGAGATGGGGTCTCATTATGTAATTCTGGATGGCCTGAAATTTTCTATGTAGATCAGGTTGGCCTCGAACAACACAGAGAGCTACCTGCCTCTGCTATCCTTTCTTCTTCTTAAAAGGACATTACCCAAGCCAGGTGTGGTGGTACATTCCTTTAATCCCAGCACTCAGGAGGTAGAGGCAGGCAGATCTCTGTGAGTTTGAGGCCAGCCTGGTCTACAGAATAAATTCCAGGACCGCTAGTGCTAGAGAAATCTTGTCTCAAAAAAAAACGAACTAGATAAATAAAAAAAAATTAAAATTAAAAAGGATACTACCCATATTGGATGAAGGACCCACTCTTATTTATTTATTTTTTTAGGATGAGGTGTTGAACTTTATTTACTTTTTATTGCAGTCACATTTTCTTTCTTTTTTCAAAATTTATTTTACATACCAACCACAGTTCCCCCTCCCTTCCCTCCTCCCGCTCCCCCCACCTCCCCCAACCCACCCCCATCCACTCCTCAGAAAGGGAAAGACCTCCCATGGGGAATCAACAAGGCCTGGCACATTCAGATGAGGCAGGAACAAGCCTCCCCACCCCCACACCCCTTGCATCAAGGGTCAGCAAGGCATCCCACCATATGGAATGGGCTTCAAAAAGCCAGCTCATGCACCAGGGATAGATCCTGGTCCCACTGCCAGGGGTCCCACAAACAGACTAGGCTACAAAATTGTCACCCACATGCAGAGGTCCTAGTTTGGTCCCATGCAGGCTCCCCAGCTGTCGGTCTAGTGTCCGTGTGCTCCCACAAGTTTGGGTCAGCTGTCTCTGTGGATTTCCTCATCATGATCTTGATCCCCCTTGCTCCTATAATCCCTCTTCCCTCTCTTTGACAGGACTCACCATAGCTTAGCCTGGTGATTGGATGTGGGTCTCTGCATCTGCTTCCATCAGTTAATGGATGAAGGTTCTATGATGATAGTTATGGTAGTCACCAATCTAATTACAGGGGAAGGCCAGTTCAGGCACCCTCTCCACTATTTCTGGGGGTCTTAGCTGGTGTCATCCTTGTGGATTCCTGGGAGTTTCCCTTGCATCAGGTTTTGCCCTAGTCCTGTAATGGCTCCCTCTATTGAGATAGATCTTTCATTGCTCTCCCACTCCATCCCTCCCCCAACTTGACCATCCCATTCCCTCATGTTCTCACGCCCCATCCCCTCCCCTTTACCACCCCCCCAACTCCCTGTTTACCAAGAAGATCTCATCTCTTGCCCCTTCCCAGGGCGATCCATGCATCCCTCTTAGGGACCCACTCTTACGATCTCACTTAACTTTTGAAGGTCCTATCTCTAGGACTGGGGATAAATCTCAGTTGATAGAAGACTTCCCTAGCATGTATGAAACCCTGGTTCAATCCTCACCATTTTATAAACTGAGTGTGATTTCCTAAACCTGTAATCTCAGCACACTCAGGAGCTGGAGGCAAGAGGATCAAAAGTTTAAGGTTATTCTCAGCTACATAGCAATTTTTAGGCTAGCCTGGGCTATATGAGATACTCTTTAAAAAGAAATTAGGAGTTGAAGACATGTCTCTGGGTTTAAAAGCACTTTCTTTACTGCTCTTGCAGAGGACTGGAGTTTGGTTTCCAGCACCCATATTAGGTGACATGCAACTACCTGTAAATACAATTCTAATGAATATTATGCCCTTTTCTGGTCTCTGTGGGCACAGAATACACATGTAGTACACATGCAGACAAACAGGCACATACACGCACATAAAATTTTAAAAAGTCTTTAAATTTTTCCTGCAGTGGTAGCACATGTTTTTAGTCCAAGCACTCAGGAGGCAGAGGTAGGTGAATCCCTGAGCTCGAGACCAGCCAGTTCTACAGACAGTTCCAGGACAGCGAAGGCTACACAGAGAAACCCTGTCTCAAAACAAAACAAAACAAAATGAAAAAAACAAATTAATTAATTAATTAGTTTTAAATATTTCATTCCATCCAAAATCATGCATTGGGGATTAGAGCTTCAGTGTATGATTTTAAAGAAGCACAAGTCCATCCATTACCAACATTGCTAACAAATACTGGCTAAGTTGAATACCTGAAAATCACCAGGATTGCTAATGACTGGACTGTCTGAAATGCAACTAACCTTCATTTCGGATTTGTGACAGATATTTATTTATTTGTTTGTTTTGAGACAGGGTGTAGATGTAACAGTCTTGTTAAATAAGAAACACAGAGCCAATACAGAGATGAAAGCCCAAGAGGTCAGAGTAATAGCTAAGAGCTAAAAACCTTACCCTTCACTGCTGTTGCTGTACTCCTCAGCAAGTGCACTACTTCCTGTGTATCTGTCTTTATACAGACTTTCTGCTCTGCCTTCTCATTGGTTGTAAACCCAACCACATGACCTCCTCGTCACTGCCCATCTGTACAGACCTCCAGGTCTTCTATGGTTGGTATTGAGATTAAAGGCGTGTGTCTCCATGCTGGCTGTATCCTTGAACACACAGAGATCTGCCTAGTTCTGCCTCCCAAGTGCTGGGATTAAAGGCGTGCACCACCACCGTCCAGCTTCTGCTATGGCTTGCTATTAGCTCTGACTCCCAGGCAACTTTATTTATTAATATACAAATAAAATCACATTTCAGTACAATTAAAATATCACCATAACAGGGTCTCTCTGTATATTTGGCATTCTTGACAGATATTTATTTGTTTGTTTGTTTGTTTGTTAGTTTGTTTATTTTGAGACATGGTTTCTCTGTGTAACCACCCTGGCTGTGGAGCTCGCTCTATAGACTAGGCTGGCCTCAAACTCACAGAGATCCACCTGCCTCTGCCTCCCAAGCTCTGAGATTAAAGACATGCACCATCACACTCAGCTCTTAGCAGATATTTAATCCCTTGTAATCCCATCAGTGTCCTTGAACAGCAAATTCTGAAAGGGACATAGATTTTTGCTTTCTTTAGGGATAGCATATCTTCTCTTTGATACCCTAATAAGATCAGTGAGAAGGCTGGGGCCATAGCTCAGCCACAGAGTGCTTGCCTAGCATGTGTACAATCCCTGGCACCAAAAACTAAAAGAAAAGAACCTAGGCTAATGCCCATCTTTGCAATGAATGATGGGAGGCAGGGTCACCTGCAGGTGAGATAACTGTCCCAAGTTCTCTAGTAGGAACCATATTAGTGGTGATGATAATGACAACAGGAATAGCTAACAATTACTGCATCAGGCCCAGTGTAAAACTTGCTATAGATTTGTTTCTATGGTGGAAAAAAGAGTCTTCTACTTCCTGTTCTTTACAAAAAGTTGTGACTGACATCCCTGTAAAAGACAGATTAATAGGAAAAAGCAGAACTCTCTCTTCCTAGGTACAGAGATCCCTCTAGAATAAAGGTCCTGTGAACTACTATCTGAAAGGAAGGTCAGAGATCTGGACATGGTAGAACACAACTATAGTCTCAACATTTGTGAGGTGGAGGCCATAGTATCATGAGTTCAAAGTCATTTTCCACTATATATGGAATTGAAGGCCAGCCTGGGCTGAATGAGACTCTGTCTTAGAAAAGAAAACACAAAACAAAATGAAGGAAAGAGAAAGAAAAGGAATATCATAAATTTTCTTTATGTCCAAATCTTACACAGATATCTGGGAGAAAATAGAATGACATTTTTCCCACTCATCTGATTCTGAGTTTGGAAATGTAATGTATTTTTGCTCTACTTTTCTTTAATGCTATTAAAATATGAAGGAGTATGCTAGGTGGTGATGGCTCACACCTTTAATACCAGCACTGGGGAGACAGAGGCAGGCAGATCTCTGAGTTTGAGGCCAGCCTGATCTACACAGTGAGTTCCAGGGCAGCTGGGGCTGCACAGAGAAACTCTGTCTCAAAACACCAAAAAAGGAGTGTATATAACATACAACTTAAAAATTAAAACAAAAGAACCCTGTTTGTTGGCTTAATGGTATGTTTTTCAACAATTTAGAAGATGAGGATAGAAAATTGAAATTACTACTTTAAAAGGCTTTAATAAGGAAAAATTAAAGTTTAAAAATGCTGATTAAATTCAGTCACTTGTAAATGGTTGGCAATTTTGTATTTGTTTGTTTGGGGAGTAACAAGACATATGAACTTGCCAGTGAGAAGGAAGCAGGCAAAAAGAAAAAAAAAAACTTCCTCCCATGTCTTTTTTTTAATGAAAAGCCACCAGAAGGTGTGAATCAGATTTAGGGTTCGTTTTCTCATCTCAAATAATCCAATCAAGAATATATTTTGGGGTTGGTGAGGTGGCTGTGGCTCAGAGGTTAAGAGCACTGACTGCTCTTTCAGAGGTCCTGAGTTCAATTCCCAGCTACCACATGTTGGCTCATAACCATCTATAATGAGATCTGGTGCACTCTTCTGGCCTGCAGGCATATATGCAGGAGGAACACTGTGTGCATAATAAATAAATAAACCTACAAAAAAAAAAAAAAGAATATCCTTCACAGGCATGCCCAGCTGCTTGAGTTTTAGTTGGTGCCAGGTGTTGTCAAGTTGACAGCCAAGATTAGCCCTCACAACCAGTTAGTTAAAATTTGATGATTAATTGATTGATTGAGATCAGATTGAGACTGTTGTCCAGGCTGGCCTTTAGCTCATCCTCCTGATTCAGTTTTATGAGTTCTTCCATCATGCCTGGGTTTCAGATTTTAATTTTTCCAATTTAGATGGTTCAATTAAGGATTTTCCCCCACCTTTAGGACAGTGGGGGATATAAACTATGAATAAGTCAGGCAGTGGTGGTGCACACCTTCAATCTCAGCACTCGGGAGGCAGAGGAAAGTGGATCTCTGACTTCGAGGCCAGCCTGGTCTACAGAGCCAGTTCTAGCACAGCCAGGACCACACAGAGAAACCCTGTACCAAACAAACAAACAAAAACAAAACAAAACAAAAAACTATGAACAAGGGCTGGAGAAATGGTTCAGTGGCTAAGCAAATGTACTACTCTTGCAGGGTCAGGTGGCTCATAATAACTTCCTATAATCTGAGCTCCAGAAGGACCTAACTAATGCCTTTGGCCCCTAAGGGCACCTGCACTCATGTGCACACTTGCGCACGTTCTCTCTCGTGAACACACACATACACACACACACACACACACACACACACACACTAAAAAAAAAAAATAGTAATTAAAAATAATAAAAATAAGTTGTAAAAGACTATAAATAGCCAGTAGAAACTTGTAACCTTCCTGAGGGCAGCAATAAACAGTCGAATCCTGTTTGTGCAGGTTGCCACTGTGTGTCAGACCCCCTCATTGTGAGGGCAAACAATGGAGAGCTTGCAGTGATATACAGTACTGTAGAAATTACATGAGATATTCTACATTTTATTAAAAATGTATGAAATTAATTTTTCAACTTATATTTTCAATTTACAATGGGTTTATCTGGACATAATCCCCTCTAAGTGAGGGCTGCAACTGTATGCAATGCTTCTAAGGTGTTTCTGTTTTTTATTTTTGACAGGGTCTCTCTATGTAACCCTGGCTGTCCTAGAGTTTACTATGTAGCCCAGGCTGGCCTTGAACTCACAGAGATCTGCCTGCCTCTGCCTCCTGAGTGCTGGGATCAAAGGCGTGCGCCACCACCCTTCTTCTAAGAGTTTTAATGTGATGATGACGACAATGAAGATGATGAAGAAACTCAAATTATTTTAAAGTCTCCCATATCTTACCTGATACTGTGGAGTTCTTGGTTGAAGTCTTGCTAGTTGGGATGAATTTGGAGTGAGTCTAGGAGAGAAAGGATTGACCTTGAGGTAGGTTCCACTCTTCAACCCCACCTCTTCCTTCCCCAACTCCCAGGCCCTAAAGTTGGAATTGCTTGAAGGGATGTTATATTTTTACTCCTGAGGTTAAAGGGTGGAAAAATTGTTTTGTTTTTGATATTTTGAGACAGGTTCTAATGTAGCTCAACCTAGCCTCAAAGTCGATATGTAGCCAAGGTTGGCCTTGTACTTCTGATTCGCTTGCTTTAACCTCTCAAGTACTGGAATCACAAGTGTGTATCACCATGCTCCCTGATTGTTGTTTTAAAAGCAGGTCTCCCATCATGATCCCGGTTTGCTTTAAACATTCAACCCTCCTGCCTCATCCTCCCTTGTCCTTTTGTAAATGTTGGGGGAACAGGGCCAGAAGTTTACCTTCAAATACTGCCTATAAACCAAAGTTTTGAGTTAAGTATGGTGCCACACACCTATAATCCCCGAATTTAGGGGAACGATGCAGGAGGATTATGACTTCAAGGCCAGACTCAGCTAACATAGGGAGTTCCAGGCCAATCTAAACTACAAAGTGAAACCCTGTCTCCAAAAAAAGAATGAGTGAGGGAGGGAAGGAGGGAGGGAGGGAGGGAAGGAGGGAGGGAGGGAGGGAGGGAGGGAGGAAGGAAGGAAGGAAGGAAGGAAGGAAGGAAGGAAGGAAGGAAAAAAGGTAGGTTCTGGGGCTGGAGAGATGCTCACAGGTTAAAAGTAAGTACGGTTCTTATATAGAACCAAAGTTCCATTCCCAGCACTCCAGTGAATCCAAGCCCTTCAGCCCTCTGTGGGCATTCACATGCACATACACATGATCAGAAATAAAAATAAAATCTTTAAAAGTAAGTTAAACCATATCTAAGTGAATTCAAACTTAAAAACATATCCCCTCCTCCCTCTCCCAAAGCATTTAGAGCCTATCACTGAGTTCCAGCAGCAGCTGCTCATGACATCACAGTGCAGTGGGCCTGCACTGGGAGATAAATTCAATTTCAGAAAAGAAAACTCTAAAGAAACAATTCATTCCATAATAATTCTAAGAAATTAACATGTTTAGGATTATGTCTGGAGCCATTTTTTTGCCATACATATTTGGCAGCACTGGGGATTGAGCCTCAAGCCTTGCAATATGACAAATAATACACTACTACCTTAGCTCTATATCCATTTTAATTGGTATATATTTTACATACATCAAAATGTATATCTATTTTCAGTATAGGGTTTAATAAGTTTTGAAAAAATCCATACAGAACATCCCAATTGTCTCCAAAAATTCCTTTATGCCTGTCTTAGTCTAAAAAGAGGCTAATTTGAGCTTATGGTTCTGAAGGCTAGGAAGTCTAAGAGAATTGTACCTGAATCTGCTTGGCTTCTGATAAGGGCTTCATAGTGGAAGTTAGAAGAAAAGAGAGTGTATAGAAAAGAGAACAGTGGAGGCTGGAGAGACAGCTCACCAGTTCAGAGTTCTTGCTGCTCTTCCAGTTTGGCTCCCAGCACCTATATCAGGTGGCTCACCTGGAATTCCAGTTCCAGGGGATCCAATGCCATCTTCTAACCTCTGCAGGCACCTGCACACATGTGGCACAGAGAGAGAGAGAGAGAGAGAGAGAGAGAGAGAGAGAGAGAGAGAGAGAGAGAGAGAGAGGAGGGGTAAAAGAAATAAAATCTTTTTAGAGGCTGGAAAGATGGCTCAGTGGTTAAGGGCACTGACTGCTCTCCCAAAGGATCTGGGTTCAAATCCCAGCACCCACATGGCAGCTAACAACTGTCTGTAACTCAAAGATCTGACCTGCAGGTAAAAGCCCTCTTCTGGCCTCCCTAGGTACCTGTACTTGTGTGCACATATATACAGCAACACACACATACAATTAAAAGAAAATACTATTACTTTTTAAAAAAAGAAATAAAAACTTTTTAAAAAGAAGAGAGGACAAAGAGGGTCAGGCACTTTATAGAATTAATTCTGGGGCCTGGGGAAATGACTCAGTAAAATACTTGCTGTATAGTCATGAGGACCTGAGGGTAAAAGCTAGGTGTAGTAGTGCATGTCTGTGATCCCAGTGCTGAGAAGATAGAAGTAGGCAGAACCCTGAAGCTCACTGGTCAGGCAGTCTAGCGAAAAAGGTGAGCTCCAGGTTCAGTGAGAGACCCTGTCTAAAAAATAAAGTGAAGATGGGTTGAGAAAGACACCCCAGGCCAATCTCTGGCTTCTACACATACATGCACATGAACTTGCATGCACATGTGTACATATCCACACAAACATGTATATAAACATCCAATATTATCCTTTATATGTGTAAACTTTTCATGAGTGCTCAGCTGTACATATGTGTGCATGTATATGAAAACAAGATGTTAACATCTGGTATCCTTCTTCAGGTGCCATCCACTGTTTATTATTATTTTGTGTATGCCTGATGGGGAGTGGTGCACAAGTGCTGTGGTATATATGTAGAAGTCAGAAGACACCTTTGTGGAGTCAGTTTTTCCTTCCACCTTTTTGTAGGTTCTAGATATCAAACTCAGGTGTTTTTTTGGGGGGTGGGGGTTTGTTGTTGTTGTTTTTTTTTTTTTTTTTTTTGGTTTTTTGAGACAGGGTTTCTCTGTGTAGCTTTGCGCCTTTCCTGGAGCTTGCTCTGTAGACCAGGCTGGCCTCGAACTCAAAAGATCCACCTGCCTCTGCCTCCCAAGTGCTGGGATTAAAGGCATACACCACCACCACCCAGCAAATTACCGTTTTTGTTTGTTTGGTTGGTTGGTTGGTTGATTTGGTTTGGCTTGGTTTTGGTTTTTCGAGACAGGGTTTCTCTGAGTAACAGTCTTGGCTGCCCCAGAACTCACTATGTAGACCAAGTTGGCCTCAAATTCACAGAGATCTGCCTGCCTCTACCTCCTGAGTGCTGGAATTAAAAAGGCTTGCACCAACACACCCATTCCAACACAAGCACCTTTAACCACTGAACCATCTTTGCTAGACTTTACCTTGTTTGTTGAGACAGAGCCTTTTCATTGGCCTGGAGCTCACTGGTTCTGCTAGACCTGCTGGCAGTTAGTCCCAGGGATTTTGCTGTCTCTCCTTCTCACTGGGATTACAAACACAGATCACCATGATCAATTTATTTTTATTTGAGAAATACCTTAGTAGTTCATTCATGCTTGTGAAGCACTCACTTTGCCAACTTGAGCCATCTCCCTAGCATCCAATAACTCATTTTCAAGAGCAAGAACTAATCCACTGCTGCAAGAACTAATCCAGTCTTGCAAGAAAGACATCAATCCCCCTGAAAGGTCTCACCTATCAGCATCCCTGCATTGGCAACCAAATTCCACCCTGAATTTTGACAAGGACAGACCACACCCACACCCCATAGTTACAGCCTCTCTATTCTTCCCCAAGATGACTTGATTTCTTTCACTGTAGACTAGTTTTGCCTGGCTTAGAATTCCATGGAATACTATAGTATTTCTCTTTTGTGTCTAGCTTCTTTCTCTTAACCTTAGGTCCAAGAGATTCATCTATGCTGTTCTATAGTTCTTTGTGATTGCTGAGTGTCATTGTATTATGTGATCATTGTCATAGTTCTTGGTCAATTTTTTTGTTGGATACCTAGGCTGTTTCTAGTTTTTTTTGGTTTTATTTTTTATTTTTGCTAATATGAATAAAGCTAATCTGAACATTTACACACAAGTTTTAGTGTGGATATGTAGCATGCTGTGATTGGGTCACCACAGCCAATTTGGGGCTACTCTTAACTCTGGTTCAGTGATGTCATATTGGTAGTTTGAAATAGTCACTGTAGGAATCTTTATACCACAACTGGCAAATACTACAAATTACAGCTGTTTTTTTCCTGCAAAGCTGGTTGTTAACATTTACCAGCATATCATTCGGGTATATGTTTTCATTTCTCTAGAGTAAATACTTAGAAATGATGTTGCTGGGCTACATAACTGATTTTTAATTTTCAAATTATTTCTTGTCATGTTTTTGCAGGAAATTAAAAGAAAGAAGTATTATCCTTTTATAGAAGCAAGAGACTCAACCCATTACATACAAGTTCTCAAAATAACCACTTACTTGTTTTGAAGTAAGAAAACGTGACAGCACCATTTGGGACACAGGGTTCCTTCTAAATTCATCTAGTAGTCACGGTGGCCATCTGTTACTTTATCCAAAGGAAAACTCATATCTTTTGACAAGCAAGAAACAACTTCCAGCTGGACACACAGAGGAAGTTCCCACCAATCAGGGAGATGGGATGTTGTTACATTTGAAAGAGGTAGTTTCAAGGCCCTTAAGGAAAATTTTCTGTGGTTGTAAAACTGGCAAGAGACCAACCTAGTCTATTTTTTTTTTAAAAGGGTGCTGGGGATTTTACTCAGGGCTTTAACTCAGGGCTTTGTGGTTCATTCTACTGTTGAGCTACATCACTAGAACCATACTAGGCTTTTAAAAAAGATTTACATATATCTCAAATGGACAGAGAAAATATGTTTTCTAAAGGAAATGTTCCAAGAAAAAGAATGTGTGTGTGTGTGTGTGTGTGTGTGTGTGTGTGTGTGTGTGTGTGTGTCCCTTTTCTGATTGTGATGCCAGGGAAAGGTCAATTTAAAAACTATATTTATCCTAAAGTATGTCCACAAATGGCTGCCACAGTGTTGCATTCCAGACTCACACTCCCTTCTTCATCTAGCCACCTGCGGTCTGTCTTTCAAATTCCTCCTCAACCCCTTTCCTAGAGGAAGTCTCCCTCCCTACAGCCAGACCTCCAGCACAGTTCTACTACTTATCAAAATTTATGACTACAGTCTCCTAGAGCTGGTAAATACTGAACATCATTTAGTTTGAGTCCACTCCTTTTTAAGGATAGTCAAACTAAAGACATACGAAAATCCAAAATGTGCTTACAGCACTGGCTCCAAAATGCATTTAAGGGTTTCTCTTGCTCGTATTACTAAACCCATAAGATCAGCCCAAATGACCAGAAAATACAAAACTAAAATCGAGTCGTTTTCCCGACACTCACACCAAAAAAGGACAAGCTTCTTTATTCTGCAGCACTCTTAGGGTTAAAGTCCTTAACACGCAGTTGTCGTCCTGACTGCGCCTGCGCGCCAATCAGGCCAGGAGAATTTGCCCTAGAGACTACCATTTGGGGCCACCCCTCCTAATCCGGAACACGACCCACATTCCGCTGGTCCTGTCTTGACGGGCGTGATTTTACTCCAATAAGAATGAAGGGCTGAGTCCTGGGGAGCCAATAGCAAAAAGCCGAGGGACGGTGGCGGCGGCCTGTGAGAGGAAACAAGAAGACAGGCCCAAGATGGAGGCGGTGGTGGTGGTAGCGGTGTGACAGGTGAGGGCAGGCCCGGTAGGGTTTGGGTTTCGGAGCTGCCGCCGGACCCGGGCAGAAAGTCCGGACCGAAAGCTAAGCTCCAAGATGCTTCCGTCTGAATCTCAACACCCCCCGCCCGGAACCAAAGGAGTGGTTTGACCCGGGGCGAGACCATCATCTACGGAGGGAGTGGATTGAGTCCGCGGACAGGCTGCTGTGGTTTCACCCGCTGCCAATGGCAGTGCGCCTGCGCAGACCTGAAGCCCTTCGGGAGGGCAAGACAGCGCCAAATGGGGTCTGGGGTCTGGGGTCTGGAGCTTGGGTGCGAGATTCCAAGATGAACTCAAACCCCTCCAACTGTCTGATGACATTTCCTCACCAAGTCCAGGAGATGCAGCTCTCTCCCATGGTTCCTTATTGTCCTTAATATTCTACCCCTCTTAGGGAAATGTCTACAGGATAGCCTCATTATCCCTAGTTCACCTCAACCTCCTTCCATGATTTCTCAGAGCGTTTACAACAAGTAATCTTTCTGTGACCCTTCGGTAGTTATCAGGGAGAGTTTTTGGAGACCTTTTCCCCCAACCTTACCTCCATTTTCCTCATCTGGATACCATTGTGTTCTTTTCCCTTTCTTTTTAACAGTGTTTTCTGGTGAGCCATCATTGCCATTTGCATTTGGCTTAATGTGTAATTCGGTCTATTATCCATCTGTCTTTAAACTTCTATTACATCTCTCTTCAGCATAGTGTTTGGTGACCCTTTGTGAATTTATCACAGAGTTTGGTGACCTCTATTAGTTATCTGATAGTGCCTTTAATGCTACCATCAGCCTTACAGCTCAGTACTCTGAGATACTCACAGTGCCTTTTAGGATCATGGTACAGTCTCCATTTCCTCCAAACTAAAGACAAGATTTGATGATCATCCATTTTTCCATTCCCTGTCTGTAACTCTTTTCACTATACTATCTGATCACTCCGCTCTTCATTGAAAGTCAGGGCAGCCTGTTCATTCCCATTACGTGTCTGAACCTTCGTTCTCCAGTGCAGTACATACTGACTTCCCCATTAGTCACCAGAAGAATTTTGTGTACTGTACCCTCCAGGACAGTTGTGCACTGCCTCCTCACTGCAGTGAGCCTGAGATCTTGGCACTCAGCTGTGAGATAAGCAATAGCAGATTCTGAGCAGAGAAGGGTAAGCATTAGGTGTTAGCATTATTGGGCTGTTTCATGAAAATTGGGCTGCAGGGAGCAATGGGAGCTTGGAGATGGAATTTTATTTGTCCTTTGTTACTCTGCTTTCAAGCTATCATTACTAGACCTCTGAATTTTTACTTTGCCCTCTCCTAGGAGTCCTATGGCACCTGCCCAGTCCTACCTCAGCCCATCTTGACAAAAGCAGGTTCCATGGAACCACCACGAGGCCCTCCTGCTAGTGGGGCTGAGCCATCTCGGGCAGTTGGCACTGTCAAAGTGTACCTGCCTAACAAGCAACGCACAGTGGTGAGTCACCGAGACAAAACTGGCATGGGTTCCAGATGGTCCCAATTGTAAGTCTGGGATCAGAAGGGTGACAAGGGGTAGGGAATAGCCACTGCAGAGGAATAGAATAATTGGCTAGGGCACTTACTGGGTATTGAAGACCCTAACCTGTGTACACATACACACGTAGGTGACTGTCCGGGATGGCATGAGTGTCTATGACTCTTTGGACAAGGCCCTCAAGGTGCGGGGTCTCAATCAGGATTGCTGCGTGGTCTACAGACTCATCAAAGGGTAAGTATGGAAACCCTATGCCATCCATTGGGTCCCCACACACCTCCCTTCTTCAGTGTCATCTTAATCCTTCTCTGTATTGGAGTCTTCCACCAGTTGAGGTAACATCTTTTGTTTCACTTCATTCATTCGTTGACCTGGAAGGTCTGCAACTCATTATCTACTCAGCCCCCAATTCCTCACTCTGTCTCCTTACAGAGTTCATCTGTTTTGTTTTTTTCACAATTTCTTGAACTCATCAGCCCTTTCTTTTCTCATTTTCCCCATGTACTGTGGAGTTGGTCTTCATGGGCCTTCTTTTTATTTCTGTGTTCTTTGGTTCCTTAACTTTCTGGATGTAGTTCATTCCTTGAGCCTTTTTCCTCATCTATAAAGTGGGAGTGAGAATAGTGACATTTCTTCTTTTGAAATTTTACCTTGTTTATGTGTGTGAGTGTTTTGACTGCATGTGTGTATGTGCACTGTGTGTATTTTTGATGTCTATGAAGACTAGAAGGTTCTAGATCCCCCAGAACTGGAGATTGTGAGCTGCCATGTGAGTGGGGAACTGAACCCAGGTCCTCTGCAAGAGCAGCAAGTACTCTTAACTTCTGAGCCATCTCTCCAGCCCAGTAGTGAATAGCTTAGTAAGAATTAGACATGCCAGAGAGTAGTTTATGGATGGGGCTGAGAGGAACTTTTGGAACTTTCCTGTCTCCACCTAGTCTACCATCCTATTCATTCTCTCCCGTACTCCTTGCAGAAGAAAGACAGTCACTGCCTGGGACACAGCCATTGCACCCCTGGATGGTGAAGAGCTCATTGTGGAGGTACTAGAAGATGTGCCACTGACCATGCACAATTTTGTAAGTGCAACAGGGGTGATGGGGGAGGCCACGGTGTTGACAAGGAGGGCCCTCAGTCAGGCCTGAACTTTCCCTGCTTTGTGGCTGCAGGTACGGAAGACATTCTTCAGCTTGGCCTTCTGTGACTTCTGCCTTAAGTTTCTGTTCCATGGTTTCCGCTGCCAAACCTGTGGCTACAAGTTCCACCAGCATTGTTCCTCCAAGGTCCCCACAGTCTGCGTTGACATGAGTACCAACCGCCGACAGTGAGCCTAGCCTGGGGTGGCTTGAGGGATGGGGAGGACAGAAGCCCAGGTACAAGAGCTTACAGACAGCTGACCTATACTCACAGCCTTCTTGTTTTACACCTTTATGTCCTTAAGGTTCTACCACAGCATCCAGGATTTGTCTGGAGGCTCCAGGCAGCAGGAGGTTCCCTCAAATCTCTCTGTGAATGAGCTGCTAACCCCCCAGGGTCCCAGGTAGGGATGTCTTACGTGAAAGGCTGGAGGCCAGTGAGAAAATGATCAGAGGACCCTGATAGATCATACTTTTATACATTTGTTTACTTCATAAATGCTTATTGAGCACCTCCAAGTCATGGAACTGTGGGACTGTTGGTAAGGCACCCAGTCACACTGGGTTTCAGTTTTTTCATCTGGGAAGAGGGGATGATACTTCACCACAGTGGGTTCTGAAGAGGATTGAGAGTTGAGATATGCGATGCTTAGAGCAGGGTCTGGTACAGAGTAAATAACAATTCTTATTAATTGTGTATATATATATATATATATATATATATAAATATATATATATATATATACTAGTTTATTTCTTCCAGTATAACCACACTCAAGTCTCTTGTCTTTGAAATACATATTATTGTATCAGAAAGTACTGTTTTTTAAATTTTTCTTATGTTTGATATAATGATACCATATATAAAAAGTAAGGTTAATATATTATCATTATTTGTAGTCATAAGTGTATGTGTGTTGATTACCCGTGAATTTAATCTCAGGATGGTGAAAGGAACAGAAAAATGTTTTTGTGTAAGGTATGGTAATTCGTGGGATGTAGAGACAAGAGGATCAAGGCCATCCTCCACTAATTAGCAAGTTCAAGGCCAGCCTGAGCTACATGAGACTGTCTCAAAACAGCAAAAAAATTTTTTGTAACATGATAATATGTAGAATCTTTATATTATATGTATAATATGCATTACATAATATGATAATATGTATATTTAAAACATTGCCATTTTAATATAGGTAATGTATATTATTATAAAATAAATAACGTATTTGAAAGATACATGTCATTATGATGATATGTAATAAAAAAAATCGTATCTTACCCTTTCTCCAACTATCTTTGTCCTTCATTGTCCCTCCTTTAGACCTTTTCTCCAATGTCACCCTTTCTGAGAACCCACTCCTGACTCCCCCAGGGACACTTTCTACCTCTTTATTTTGTTTTTCCTTTTTGTGTCTATCACTAACAGGCATATTATATTATATATTGATTTTTCTTTTTTACCTCTGCTAGAATAACCCTACAAGGGCAAGGGCTTCTTATTTATGGTATCCACAGTTTGATCTTCTCAGTTTAGAGTGGAATCTGGCACACAGGAGGCACTCAGTAAATGTTTCTTGAACAGATGATTACTGGTATGACCAATAGACATGTATGTACTATGTATGAGCTAAATGCACATTCAGGGTGGTGGGGTTGGGCTTTCTTTGCTTTCTGCTTCCTTTTGCATCGATTTCACAGCTTTTTCTCTATCAGCCCCTGCACCCAGCCCCGTGACCTGGAGCACTTCTCCTTCCCTGTCCCTGCCAACCCCCCACTGCAGCGCATCCGCTCCACATCTACTCCTAATGTCCACATGGTCAGCACCACAGCTCCCATGGATTCCAGCCTCATGCAGGTGGGTGCTAAGGAGGCAATGGTGGGGAGCAACAGAGCATTGCTCTGAGCCATTACTGTTGCCACATCCTCACTTTGACTACTGCTCCCACTTCCTTCCAGTTCACTGCTCAGAGCTTCAGCACCGATGGTGAGAGAACTCCCTACCC